AAGTATCTAGTTTAAAAAATGTGTCCGGTGACCCGGCCAACCAACCAAGATGGCCGCCATGGCTAAAAATAGAACATAGGGGTAAAATGTAGATTTTGGCTTATATCTCTGAAACCAAAGCATTTAGAGCAAATCTGACATGGGGTAAAATTGTTTATCAGGTCAAGATCTATCTGCCCTGAATTTTTCAAATGAATCAGACAACCCGTTGTTGGGTTGCTGCCCCTGAATTGGTAATTTTAAGGAAATTTTGCCGTTTTTGGTTATTATCTTGAATATTATTATAGATAGAGATAAACTGTAAACAGCAATAATGTTCAGCAAAGTAAGATCTACAAATAAGTCAACTTGACCAAAATGGTCAGTTGACCCCTTAAGGAGTTATTGCCCTTTATAGTCATTTTTTAACCATTTTTCGTAAATTTTTGTAATCTTTTACAAAAATCTTCTCCTCTGAAACTACTTAGACAAATTTAACCAAACTTGTCCACAATCATCATTAGGGTATCTAGTTTCAAAAATGTGTCCGATGACCCCGCCCGCAAACCAAGATGGCCGACATGGCTAAAAAATAGTACATAGGGTAAAAAGCAGTTTTTGGCTAATATCTCTGAAACCAAAGCATTGAGAGCAAATCTGACAAGGATAAAATTGTTCATTAGGTCAAGATCTATCTGCCCTGAAATTTTCAGACCAATCAGGCAACACGTTGTTGGGTTGCTGCCCTTGAATTGGTAATTTTAAGAAAATTTTGCAGCTTTTGGTTATTATCTTGAATATTATTATAGATAGAGATAAACTGTAAACAACAATAATGTACAGCAAAGTAAGATCTACAAATAAGTCAACATGACCAAAATTGGCAATTGACCCCTTAAGGAGTTATTGCCCTTTATAGTAAATTTTTTACAATTTTCATAAATTTTGTAAATTTTTGTAAATTTTTGCAAAATATTTTCCACTGTAACTACTGGGCCAAGTTCATTATAGATAGAGATAATAGTAAGGAGCAAGAATGTTCAGTAAAGTAAGATCTACAAACACATCACCATCACCAAAACACAATTTTGTCATGAATCCATTTGTGTCCTTTGTTTAATATGCACATAGACCAAGGTGAGCGACACAGGCTCTTTAGAGCCTCTAGTTACTTCTTGTCTTTAATTATAATGATGCACCATGCGATTCTAGTAACTAAAGAGTCCGTACAAATGTATGCGTTATTTAACGTCATTGTTTTTCTGAAATGTTTGGCGTTTAACTTAATATGCAAATACGTATGAAAAACGGACATATACGGAATATTTGATTGAAGTTTTGTTAAGCAGGATGATCATTTAAGTTTTATGACCAACTTATGATAGCATCATAAATATATTATATTTACGGGTCTGTGCATCCGTTCGTTCTTCCGTTCCGTTCAAAATATAAAACGTTTAAAATAATACACCAAATAAGAGGTTGACCAGGATTAAGTGGTGCACTGGACATTGACATATGATCAAGTGAAGGGGCACGGTTTCTTAAGGCCATATATTCTTGTTGGAAATGTTTTGATTAATACATGTACATGTATATGTATCTTTCATATTCATAACTATCTTTTTGGTCTTGGGGTAGCGTGCTCGCCTCGACAGTAACCCCTCAAGGGTGACCGGGGAATAGAAATAGTGTCACTATTGGTCTTGTTCCGACGGGCAGTTAAACCATTGATAAAGTGGGGCGTCCGTTTGGCTCTGCGGGATGTACAAGTACGCAGTCACGTCCAGTCAGAGTGGGGACGTTAAATCCGATGCCTCTTGTAGAGAGAATGTCACGCTCTCTGCACGTTAAATGTGCATGAAATCTTTGCCACTGGATGTTAAGCAACTAACTATCAATCAATCGACAGTATCGTAACTTTAATTTTATTTCTGGTGAGGCAAATGATTTGAATCTTGGCAGTCAAAGCCCTTTCTTGGTCAAAAGACGTCAATGCCAATAAGGAATGGACGGTTAATTGAAAATCTGATTCACAAAATAGTTTTCAGCATTTACATATGCAAGAAAAATCTTAATTTTAAACACGTTTGCTTGATTGATTAATTGATTATTGTTGCCGGATATTAATAGACGAAAACTGCATGCATATTCAGGACAAGTAAAACAAAAATAATACAATATATATGTATACTTGGTAGACCATGCTAACAGCGTAAATTTCAATTGTACTTTGAAAAAAAGAGCATATTACATGGGGGCAGACATTTTGTCCTGCAACAGGCCCCCTATGGATCCCTCGTTCTGTTCCGTGTAGAACTAATGTTCGCACCTACATTAGATTTAACTAAACGTCCCCACTCCTACTGGAAGTGGCTGTGTATTTAAACATCCTGGACATCCAAACGGACGACCCTTTTAAGCATGTTATAATGTTGAATATAATCTTGTATAGAGTACATACTGGTTATTCCCGCAACGCTAATGAGTTTCATTCTTGATACTGATAGGTCACACACTGGTAAATGAAAAATACAGATAACATTGGACATGTTGACTATTTGTAGATCTTATTTGATGAACATTTTTGCTATTCCTTTTTTCAATATCTATTATGTTTTTTTTTTAAAAAGAGGTAAACATCATATTTCAAGAGCAATTACTCCTTTAAGTATCAATTGGCTACATCTACCATGGTAAGTTATTTGTAGATCTTATTTTGCTGAAAATGTTTCTTTCTACAGTTTCTCTCTCTATCTACTATTGTGTCCGCAAAAATGCAAAAGTGGTCAAATTAACCATTCAAAGGCAATTACTCCTAAAACGGGTCGATTGACGATTTCTTCCATGCTGACTTTTTTGTAGAAGTTATACTGGTAATAATTTCAAAATTTTCAAAATTTCTATCTCGCTGTTCAAGATAAAAACTTCGAAATTTGGAAACAAACTGCCCTGCTAACCTTTTTTTTTATCGATGTTGTTGGCTCTAACTGCGTTAATTTTGAAATCTAAGCCAATAACTGTAATATTTGCTAAACATTGGTAATTCAGGGACAATAACTCCAAAATAGGATTTCCAATTTTTCTGAAAATTCCATTTGAGACATACTTTGACTTGTTAATTATTACCTTGTTGTCACTTTCGCCTTAACTGCATTTTTTTTTGTTTTAAATATAAGCCAGCCACTACATTTCAACAATATGTTCTTTTTTTGGAAACTGCGGCCATGTTTGTTAAAGGATCAGATTCAATATGTATACTAGAGTCCCTCAGAAATATTCAGGTTTCGTATGGAAACATATTAAAAGCTCGGTTGTTTCACAAAAAAAAGTAAAGTATAAATACGGAAGGCAAATTCCAAAAAGGGAAATCCATAATAACTGACAAAATCAAACGCTCTCAATAAAACAACTGCCATATACCTGACTTGGTAGAGGCAGAGGAGAAATTTTTTGGTTTAGTTTACGACAGATTACGGACTACGACAACGGACACCAAGCGATGACAAAAGCTCGATTGAGCTGAAACAAAAAAAGATGTAGTAAATGAACTTTAAACCTTTTTAGTAAGTTCATTTAGTTAAGTACATCTGTAATCCACATCTGGTATGTTAACCACTCTTAATCAATTACTGTGGAATAAAACTGATGTTCATACATGTTTAAGGCAACATTTAAAATATATAGAAGTAAACAAATTGAACAAAATTGAACTAGAGGAAATTATTAAAAATAAAAAAAAAAAAAAAAATCATGCGTGTTATCTTAGAAGGAGAACCATTGATTCAAAGCGAATACAATCTGAGTCATGTGTTTCAAGGCACGTGCTGTTAAAAAAATACATATTTTCGAGAATAGAAGTAGGGAAAATGCATGAAATGCATGGTCTTCTGCAACCTCTCAAATAAGAACAAACATGTGCTATAATCCTATAGAAATTGCCTAGAGATTTTTTTTAATACATAGTTAGTGTAAATAAAAAAATAAGAAGATGTGGTATGATTGCCAATGAGACAACTCTCCATCGGATACCAAATGAAATAAAATTTAACAACTATAAGTCACCGTACGGCCTTTAGCAATGAGCAAAACCTATTTCACTGTAATTTTTTTTTTCAAAATAAATACTTTAAAATTGACTTTTATATTATCTAATACTAGATAATTGTGAATATTCAATATCTGAAGTCGTTTTTCAGTTTATTACAATTCATTTGCTCTTTGAATAAAAAAGAATATAGCAGACTGTGTTCAGTACAATGTTTATACACATTTAGAGAATATGTACAATATAATAATAAACTTTAATAACCACTACAGTCTAAAGGTCAGGAAATTTGTTCACATTAACTTTAATTTATTGAGGACTGAACAATTGGGCTGGTCTAACCTATGCCCTGAATCCACATTCCTGCTGCCTGGACTGGATGCAATTTCAAACTGTTTTAGAAAAAAAAAACACTATTAGAAATAGCTTGGGGAATGCAACAGTTTTAACGTCAATGGTTTTAAAGACTTAAAACTGCAAATACCATAGGAACTGATCATTCTTCTTTCAATTTTGAAAAATAATTGTCAAGTTGAATTTAGATTACGAATGAACTTGGACTTACTATAATATTGGTATTTATTTTGATTATCAAATGGCAGTTAATAGGAATATTTTGAGAAGCATACTTGAAAAGGTATTTTAATATGAATAATATTATTTGTATTTGTTTAAATCAGCATGACATTGTTGTGCATTTTACGATTATGCATCTAATCTTGTACTTGTTCACAAGAGGACGACGTGTGCATGCACGAGTAATATGCAGTGAATTTTAGCATGTGAAAAGGTCCTATTTAAATAAATAGAATAAAATAAAAATAAAATATAAAGTTATACTTTTAAAATCTGAATTATAGATCCCTAAATACAATCCGTTCATGGGATTTTAAGGATTGATCATGACAAGAAAGTATCACTGTTTCAAGACCTTCGCACTACACTGAAGTGGTAATAATGTTTCTAACATTGATGCAATTCTTTATTAAGCTAATTAAAGCTATATGTCATAAAAATGTTAGTGTATTTAAATATTAACATTAATGTTAAAACTATGAGAATACATTTTTTTCAGTAAATAACTACAGATCAAAGACAACTATTTTACAGATAAAAACGAAAAATATCGATAAATACTACTGTACAAGAAAATTAGTCTACAATTATGGATCTGTACAAATGTATCTTCTATTTATATAACCAACCGCGTAAGCTATGTTGATTAAACTAGTCTTTTCATGTGGATGGGTTACAACTCTGGAATGCTGACATATCTCCGTCTGTTATGTCTGTTTTGTCTATCTGATCTGCCAGTTCGTTATATGAAGGGTCGTCTTGTAGAGCTTGGAGAAATTCAGTATATCCCTTTTCACTTTTATGCAAAAGCAAGTCAATTATTTGTCTGTTCTTTTCCTTTTGTGAAAGACCCTTTTCTATCTTTTCCTTTTCATCAACCGACAACACATCACTTGTTATCAAATGATCTACTATGTTCTCATGTTTTATATTACAGATGATTTCTGAATAATTCTTTTGTAGACGAACCTTGTATGGTTGATCAGTACACACTGATAATCCTACAAATATATCTAACTATTAAGTATGCATTTATACAAAATACTATCTGAAAAATTCATAAACACTTTGTGGTGTTCAGAAAATCATTAGAATATTGATACAATATCATATAAATTTGTGAAACAGCATTTTATATAACCACTAGACTATATGATCCTACTTTGGAAAGACACATATTTGTTGACAGCAAAATCAGTTCACAAAAATGAATATATAAATATAGTAATACGCGCATGATACGATAATTATCAAACTTTATTTTATTAGCAACAAACAATAATGTTTTGTATAATTTTTTGTAACTACACCTGCAAAAAACATACAAGTTCTTCATATAAATGAAGCCTTCGCATGTTTAATTGTGTTTTAAAAAACTGGTGGGTAAAATCATGACATTTGAATTAGTTCTATTCATACTTTTTATGGAAGAAAATTGACTTGAAAGTTGACTAGAAGAAATGCACTGAAGATCATTGAGTTATTTCCATCAACACACTTACCAGAATGCATTCCATATAATTTATATTTTATTCGAAGGAAATATAGGCAGCCTTTAATATATCCATTCATTCTGAACAAAATATCAAGAACTAATAGTTATAGAAAATAAGAAGATGTGGTTTGAATGCAAATTAGACAAATATCCAGCGTCGAAAAAAGAACAACATAAACAATACATGGTCATCGTAAAGCCTTCAGCATTTTGATAATCCGATACCTCATAGTTAGCTCTAACAGGTGCCGAATAACACAAATATGCATTGCACAATATCTAGTTTTCTAAGACTGTTGACGTCTTTCCTTTAAATCCATTGGATGTGTACTGATCGGTATTTTGTCTTGGATACATGATTTGTTTAATCAGTTATTATAGGCTTTGATCTAGCGTTCAGTAACTGCAGGTACACTCAGATCGGAACTTTGTGTCTTGCGTGTTATGTTCTTGCTTTATTTCGATGCTTTGTTATGGTAAATAAAAAAGACTCTGATCAAATCAATTGAATTGACCGTAAAAAAACAGCATTTGATGCAATCTGGCTTTTCGAAATCACATAAAATTCCAAACGGCGGTCATCAATTATTATGTTCGTTAAATAGTATACATGGTATAAGTACGCGATGAATAATGATTATTTCAGAAAAAAAAATGAATGTCTTAACTCAACTTTTTGGGTAATGGTCCCATCTATGATTTATGACCATTGTGTTCATCAACAGTTGTTTATAAAAAAGATGTAAAATGTCTGATCTATTTTCAATTTGGCCTTGGCATTATTTATTAAATTCAACGTTGGACTATTTTAAAGTTTTATATTTGAAATATAAACTTGAGCCAAATAGTTATCATGTATCTAAAGATTTGTAGCATTTTCCGTTTACGTTGTTTTTATACATTTGATTGCTTTGGTTTTAAAATGATGGCAGCCATGTTTGATGGTGGAAGGAGTCATCAACCTCAATTGTTTACTCTAGTTTTATATGTTGTGTTTTGTGTACTGTTGTATGTCTGTTGATCTTTTTCTTTTTTAGCCATGGCGTTGTCAGTTTATTTTCTGCTTAGGAGTTTGAATGTCCCTTTGGTATCTTCAGCCTCTCTTTTACAGGGATCATTATGTTTCATTCTTATATTACTGCATCTGTTTTGTTTCCACTATAGGGCGATTCAAAATAATAAATGGAAAATTTCAAAAGTATTTTTGATTGAACAATTTATTGCAATGACTCATATGAAATGTCTAAAAGAAATGTACAACCATATTATCATTTTAAAGGTTTGTTACCTAAGTGATTAATACACTGTAAAATATAATTGAAGGTAAGATTAATTTGAAGCAGCTACATTGTATAAGAACCAGTATGTTCATCGCGATCAATGTACACAAGAATATTCGATTGCTACACTATTTCTATCAGGCCATTACAATACAACAAATGAGTTAAGAATTGTAACAGTCATCCCCATGTTGATATGATGTGTTAAAGAAAAATAAGCAATACATTCAGGAGTAAAAATATTGATATTCCAGATGTAATGAATCTATATTCATAAAGTGGATATCATATAATTTTCGAGTATTTTACTTGGTATTCATGTTCTCGACAGGTGGTTTTGCTAAAAAAACGTTTGTTTCAATTATCACAATGGTTTTAAAAACAGATGACGAACTTAAAGTGCTGGAATAAATAAACTCTTGTCTTTATGCTCATGTGAACAGATCAAAATGAGGTGTATGATGTGATGTGATGTGATCATATTCCAGATGTAATGAATCTATATTCATAAAGTGGATATCATATAATTTTCGAGTATTTTACTTGGTATTCATGTTCTCGACAGGTGGTTTTGCTAAAAAAACGTTTGTTTCAATTATCACAATGGTTTTAAAAACAGATGACGAACTTAAAGTGCTGGAATAAATAAACTCTTGTCTTTATGCTCATGTGAACAGATCAAAATGAGGTGTATGATGTGATCGTATCAGCAATCAGACAGCAATTCAAAAACACAGAAACACCACATTTGTAGTTCAACACAACCATAAAAGGTTGACATGTGTTTATAACATGAGTTTGTGCTTGTTTAATAGACACATATTGTAACTAAAGAAAAACAGCGATGACTAATTAAACGGTATATTGATCCCAAATTATTCCAAAAGCTCATTGATGCCTCTTAAGCTTATAAAGTTTGGTGGAAGAAACATGTGTTGAAAACAAGTTACCAATTATAAATATTTTTCCTTGAAAATAATTAATACAGAATGACTATATCTGTGTTTTTTTAAATTAAAATTTTAACTATGAATACACAAATGTATAGATATCTTACCTTTGTATTCGACAAGCGCCAATTTTGAAATTAGGCTCTGATCCTCTAGATCATGTTTCATTTTGTTTGCAAGATCGGCGTTATCTTTTAATGCTTCTACAAAAACAACATAAGCACGCTCCCTTCTTTTCATCACTATTTCAAGCAATGCCTTTTTCTGATCATCTTGTCCAGCAGGTTCTTCAATGCGTCGTCTGTCGTCTGCTGATATCACTATGTATGTCATCATATGATCTAAAATGTCGCTAATGGGAATATTCTCTAGGATTTCGTCAATATTGCTTCTGATTCTATCTATATTTGTATAAAATAAAATATTTTTAAGAATCTGATTAATTATTGTTTTTTTTTCTTGATGAAGACAACCCTGAACATACTTCACGTAAATGTAAATACAACAGACAGTCATGTATGCACTATCTTATAATCTAAACTTCGCCGTTCAAACTTAAGCTGTCAATTTGATAGTTGCATACTATTTACTAGCATATATGAAGAACACGCGTCAGCAGAGCTCTACTGAAATCCCCTAAATATTGCCTATTTGTTGTGATGTCAAGTGTGCTTAACCATACATTTGTAGTTTTTTTTTTCAAGTCTGATGGAAGATTTTTTAGAGGAAATTAAATTATAGGTTTCGTTATGAACACTATGCAGCATTAGACAATATTGAAAACAGATTATTTACAATAAAACATTGCATATTACTGTGTTTTGTTCCCTTTAAGGTAGATGGCGTGTTTACGTTAAAAAATGATACAATGTTTCATAATTTGCCAAAATGTAGTATAGATTGTCCTATTTAAAGAAATATATATGAGTTTTTTTCATGTGTACAGTTTTGCCTAATTTATGAGCTTGCACGAATTATACATTAAGATACACTTTTGTATGAATAGAAAGAATACTACACGATATGATTTTAGAATGAAACACGATAATATAGCTCTTACAGTATAACTTTTGAAAAAAAAGAAGAAAAATTGGAGTAACCATATTCGTTTTCTTGCTATACAATATAATAGGTATATGTTATAAACATTCCTTTAAAACTAAAATTTCTCCCTTGCCATATATATGTTGATTCAATGAAAACATTGTATGATTAAAAACCATTATCTCGGGAAAATTGTAAACCTGGTAAAACATGCTATTTTAATATCTTTTTTCACCCTTATTCCAATCCACTATTTTGCAAATATGTAGATCCACATTCCGTGCTGATCTTGTATTGATGATCATTTTTGATTTTATGGTGTTTAGTCGTCTGTTACTGTTTTCAAGATGATTGGCAAACACATTACATAATTAAAAAAAGGTTGTCCTTAAAGGACAATTACTCCCTTAGGCACAATCGTGTTGCATTTTTTGTATATTCTATATTACTAATCATTTGGAAAAGTCTTTCAAACGCAATAACTAGAAAAAGGGGATGATTTGCGATTTCAAGAATGATGAATTACATATATTTTTGAATTGTTTAATAAGTGATTGTTTATTCACGGTTCAAGGTGGATGGAAGTTTATAAATTTAGTTAAGTGTGTTTGTGCTTTTCTAAATGTTGGTTTCAGTCATATGATTCTTCAAATTAAACCAGCAAGATCAATGTGTTGTATATACTTGGATGACTAAGTTGTCTTCCAAAATAAGGTTATACCAAATGATTGTCTTTACATACTTTGATTTGTCGACTGCATTTCCGTATGAAGTAACCTTAACCATGGAAACTTTCGAAATAAATTCGGCAATCACACAACATAAGTGCAAAGGGAGAAGGAAAAACAATGATGAAAGAAAAGTAAACAGATATTGAAAGAAAATAATACTTACCGATTCAGAACGAAAGCAATTAGTACACCAAATAATTTAAAACTGTTAAGACAAATTTTCGATTAACAAATGGGAACGTATGAAAAAAAGGAATACACATCGCCCTATGATTCCACTGATTATTAACGTGCTCTATGATGTTGTGCTGGTTGTTTATCAAGGTCATGATCGGTAAATTTTGACACTAAAATCCGAAAGTCAGTAATCCGTCAAAATTTTCGATATATTAACAATATCCTAACTTTTAGTTGTTGATTATTCCTTTTTAATAACTGTAAAGAAACGTGCATTATAATCACTCAAATATTGTTTTATATGATTCTTATCAAACTATTGAAATGCTTAGGTTTTAGAAGTGGCATAGATATACTTGTTTTCTAGATTGAATTGTTAAACTTTTTTTTTTGGGGGTCTTTTATGGCTGACAATGCCTAATGGGTTTTGCTTATTGTTGAAAGCTGTCCAGTGACCAATAGTTGATAACTTCTGTGTAATTTGGTCTCTGGTGGAGAGACTCAATGGCAATCATACCACATCTTTTTATTCTATATTGTGTTCGTTCGTTAATTGTCGTCCTGTTTTTCATACATGTTGTATACCATATTATTATTTACATTGTACTTCATTTTCCAAAATCAATGAGGTTTGTCTATCGATTAACGTGATTGTGGTTTCAATTTAAATGGTAACAATGAAAACAAAATACAAAATGGTTGAAACGGTGATTAAGGGACAATAAATGACATTCAATTAAAATTTTAATCAGATTGACTTATTTGTAAATCGTTATCTAAATTTTCTTAGTGTGGGGTGTAATTTTGTTGTTTTCAGTTTTGCTCTGTTTAATCTATTAAATTTCCACGAAAACTTTGACAAATTTGATAAACATTTTCACTGAAGGAAACATAACTTCTTAAATTATAAGAGTTGACTGGCGATTTTGTCCACTTATATGTAAATCTGTCTTGCTGATGATAAGACTGGTGTTTCGTCTACAAAAGACTCATCATTGACGCTCGATTCAAAAAAGGTAAAAAGGCCAAATAAAATACGAAGCTTCAGCCAGAAGTCAAAAAAGGAAAAACAAGGTGGGTAGGGGGTATTGGGTGTGGGAGGTAGATGGGGTGGTTAACTAGCGCTGAAAAACCAGGCTGTTTGTTTTATTTTTGAATATGTATTTCATAATTTGTTCTTCAGCTACCTTTTTCTGCTAACAATGCGGTATGGCTTTTGTTAGTTGAAATCTGTATATTTAATCTATAGTTATTCACATTTTCAAACTTTAATCTCTAGAAGATTTTGTCTCATTGGTAGTTATACCCCGTCTTCTCATTCTTATATCACCAGCTTTGGATATAACCTTCAATATTTTATATGACATCAAAACGGAAAGTGAAGATATTTGTTTTCGACATACATGTATGGTGTTGTACATGATATTAGAATGTAACATTATATAAATAACACATAGCTGAGAGGGTGATAGAGCAGATTGTTACCCCGAGAAAACATTGTCAACTGAGGCGAAGCCAAGGTTGACAATAAAATTGAGAATGGAAATGGGGAATGTGTCAAAGATACAATGTCTTTTCGAGGGGTAACAATCTGATCTATCATCCACTCAGATATGTGTTATTTAATTTATCATACTGAATGTTCTGTTATTACTGTCTTTTAAATTTCAAATTCAAAGTAAAAACTATGACGTCTTGTACAAAACTATGACACTTGATCAAGCGTCTCCGTGAAGGGTAATATAGTATTTACCATAGGATAGAGTAAATTGTTTCCCTCGTATTAACCAAGCAAAATCTGACATTTTGACATGAAGTATAATAAATGAAGTTATTCTAAACTACGACAGGACTTAAAAATAGTTTAAATGGTGTAATGCTTGTTTTGTCCATTGGTATATACAGCATTGACTGATAACTGCAAACATAATTTTCATTAAGGCCAATAACTACTACAAGAGGTCGACTAACGGTTTCGGTCGTTTAACTTATATGTAGATCATTTTTGCTATTTGCAGTTGTTTCTCACTCTACTTTTGTTTTCACCAAAAAAAGGGGTAAGTTGGATAAAAATCAACATTGAAAGGCCCTTATTCCTATATGGAATGTCTGACGACTACAGTGATATTAGATATAACATATCTATAAGTGGATCTTATTTTGTTGATCATTTGTGACGCAAAGAGTCGTGTTCCATTGATCATAGTTTCCCCATAACACGAAATTGTAGGCATTTCTTTTTTGACTCTCCATGACGTTAAAACACTAAATCCCTCGGATGTGTTTTAGTTGATTTTAGTCTCTGTACTTTATTTTATTTGGCGGCATTTTGTCCAAGGTTATGGTTGTCTTTCTGATATTGTTGTACATCTAATCCCCTTGTTTTATTAATTTTGTATTTACATTGTGTCATAGATCAAATTTATTCGTTTATTGTATGTTCACTGGTTTTTGTTAATATGTTTTTTGATTGAGTTAAGCCATTTTAATTGATATTTTATAGTGTGTCTTTCTATGTCGTGATGATACACTATTGTTTCAGGTAGGGTGAAGGTTGTCGCCTATTAAAACCTTTAAACCCGCTGCATTTGTTTGCACCTGTCCTCAGTCATGAACATGATGTTCAGTGGTTGTCGTTTGTTGATGTGGTTCATAATTGTTTCTCGTTTTTTATATAGATTAGACCGTTGGTTTTCCTGTTTGAATGGTTTTACACTTGTCATTTATGGGGCCCTTTATAGCTTGCTGTTCGGTGTGAGCCAAGGCTCCGTGTTGAAGGCCGTACTTTAACCTATAATGGTTTACTTTTACAAATTGTGACTTGGATGGAGAGTTGTCTCATTGGCACTTGTACCACATCTTTTTATATCTATTGTTCATTATTACAGGGTTATTACTCCTATAATGAAGCGACTGATGATTGCAGTCGTTTGAATTATAAGAAGGTCTTTTTGCAAGTATTTGTTACTGTTTTCAGTTTCTCTCTGAACATTTAGTTTTTACCAAAAATCAAAAAGGGATATACTTTTACTAAAGGGAAACAATTCCTTCAAGGAAGATTTTTACCATTTCTGCCTTGCTTGTTATTTGTTTACAGTTTTGCTGATCACTTTTACAAATTAAATTTTCTCGCAATCTTCATTTTAATTCAAAATACTAGCCATTAACATGATAAAAGTAACATTGGGGAAGATCGTAATATAAAGTCAAACACTCCTATAAGGATTCAGCTGAAAGTTTGTAAACCCTTTCTTGCTGATCGTTATTTAAATGTTCTTTATTGTTTTAAGATAATAGCCACGTGAGCTATAAAAGTGTCTGTATGCTCCGAAAAAAAATTAGTCAAAGAATAATTACAATGCATAACCCATGCTTACAAATTAATCTATATTCATCTATGTAAAATGAGACATCGTATATACCTTCAAGTCGCTCCTTTACTCCTACTTCATATGTTAAATGTCCTAAAACACCAGACAAATCAAGGCGAAATAGAGTTTTGACTAAAACTTCATTTGTAGCTTGATGATGTTTCAACCATTTGTCAAGGACATTCTCTGTTTGGCTACGAAGATTTGTAACATGGTTCGATTGTATCTGATGCATCTCAACAACAGATAGTCCAAGTTCTATTCCAAGCTGGAAGGTTTCTTTACCAATATGATCAGGTAGTATTTCTATATCAGAACTAGACGGTCTTAGTTTCAACTTGTCCGTTGGTAGATCTAAAATCAAACAGTACATAAATATCACAATAGTTTTTTTTTTTGACGCATCAAAACATTAAATATATTGTTTTTCTTAATTGTTTAATGTATTAATCTATTTCAACAACCGAACCAACTTAAAAAAATAGCCACAACAAGTTTATCCCTATGTCACACTTCAGAGAGTATTGCATACAACACGGTTTACATGTTGTTTCTACAAGATAAGCATGGGAATTAACTGTGCACCACTTATTGTGGACCTGTTTCTGTATTGTAATGAGTTACAATTTATGACTACAACCAGCAAAGACCCATCGAAATAACATCTGATACAAAAATTTAATAACACTTTTAGATATTTGGATTATATATTGGCTCTCAATAATGACGACTTTAGTATGTACACTAAAGAGATTGATCCTGCTTAACTGACTTTAGATAAGGCTAATACTAACAATGAACACTGCCCTTTCCTGGATCGTGATATCTATATCTTTAACGGAAATCTTAATACCAAAATTTACGATAAAAGAGATGATTTTTCATTTCCTATTGTTAATTATCCATTTCTAGATGGTGACGTTCCCTTGTCACTATCTTATGGTGTTTATATATCTTAACTTGTTGGATTTGCTCGTGTATGTAACAACGTATTTGATTTTAACGAAAGAAATATCTATATTACTGAAAAATTATAACACCAGGGTTTTCGATATCACTATGTAGTCAACACATTTACTAAATTTTATCATCGGTACAAGGACATCATTCGTAAATATAAATCAACATCCAGACATGTTATACGTTCAGGTATTTTGTATCCAATCTGTTATGGTAATATTCTATAAAAAGCACAAACATGTCGGCATTCACCTCAAAAGCTAACCAAACCTTTAAACAGACTAATTCAGAAGGCATATAATTACGATAGGTTGTCAGGTCATTAAAGATGGCATATTTGGTATTAATATTGATTCACTCATAGTGTCTTTGCATCGGAAATAAACACATTTATTCTAAAACCAGTTGTTGGCATGATTCGGGTTATGTTCTTCTCATATATTTGATGATGGTTTGATACTAAACCCATAACGGGAGGGATTGTGCTTAATTTTCAAATGATGAATACATAATCTTTCAATCAGTTTAATAGTGGTCTGGAGCTGGCATGTCAGTAACTGCAAGTAGTCCTTTGTTAATTTATGTATAATTGTCATTTTGCTGAGTTTCATTTGTTACCTATTCTGAAATCGGACTCGGACTTCTTTAAAACTTCGTTTTACTGTGCGTATTGCTGTGTGTTTGTTTATTCTACATTGGCTAGAGGTATAGGGGAGGATTGAGATCTCACAAAACATGTTTAATCCCGCCACATTTTTGCGCCTGTCCCAAGTCAGGATTATCTTGCCTTTGTTATTCTTGTATGTTTTTTTTTAACTTTAGTTCATTTATATGTTTTGGAGTCTAGTGTGCCGTCCATTTTCGCTGAACTAGTACACATTTTTGTTTAGGGGCCAGCCGAAGCCCGCCTCCGGGTGCGGGATTTTCTCGCTGTTGTGGAGACCCATTGGTGGCCTTGGGCTGTTTTCTGCTCTTTGATGAGGTTGTTGTCTCCTTGACACATTCCCCATTTCAATTCTAAATTTTATTATAAGGTGTATGCGCTATTCATATGTACACTGCTCAATAATTCTAGACCAAAAAATGAATAGACTACTGCAAGCTATCTTGTATTCCTTTCTAAATCATATTCCTGATTTTGTTGATGTATTCACCTCATGTATATGCATACATTTCTCATAAAAGTTAGTTGGTTTACAGTATGTATGTTATCGGTAGTAATTGAGAAACTGACCAAAGCAAAAAATATTCAAAATAATAAAAAAGGCCACAAAATCAATCCATTGCAATTCATTCTATAAGATAGATATTTACAATAATTCAAAACGTTAAACACAGTTAAACTGCTACAATGAACAAATATGAACCGAAAAGGATTAACCTCTTTTATTGAATACTCTATTTAAATAAGTCAAAATATACATTAGGTCTGGCTCAAGTTAAGCTTTTCAGACATATATTTCCAACCTAAAATGATAACATATACTGTAAACCAACTAATTTTCGCAACTATAGCGAGTTGAAAATTACGCGACTTTAAATCGTCGGAATATGTACAACTTGGATCTTTCCTTATTTAACTACACCGAGTTAATTTGAAAATCGCAAAATAAAATCGCCGCGAAGCATGCTTGAAAGGACTAAGCACAAAATAAAGTATCCGAGAAAATTAGTAAGTTTACAGTATGCAATTTGAAGGAATGTTATCTGTAGCCTTTAATATACTTACATATCCAAAACAGTAATGTTAATTAGTGAATCATGGAAATGAAGTCAAAGACATATTAATCCTTGACAGGAAGTTGTTTGAACAGTTCAAACACTAAGTTACAATTGACCTTTCATCTGTAGTATCTTATAAATCTCTCGTAATTTTATCTTTCAGTACTTGAAAACATGGTAACCAACAACTGCTTTGAATAAACAAATAGTGAAGAAATGAATGACTCTTGTTCATTTATTAAATAACACTTTTGGGAACTATGTCTCTTAACAAACGAGATGCCACTACCAGACAAACGTTCATCTCAAGCAGTCTCAGTAAAAATATTATTGGTTAACCTGGGTAAAGTAGAGATCAGATATAAACATATTTAAAACAAATGATGCTGTCGTCTAAGCTGGGCTAGAAAGCATTACACTTTTTGCATAGGAAGAAAGAACTAGAGGCTCTAAAGATGCTGTGTCGCTCACCTTGGTCTAAAGTATCTACTTATCTATAATAATTTTTATCATGTAAGGTAAACCCCCTCCCCCCTCCAAAAAAAAAATAAAATGATAAAAATCGTCATTAAAGGGCAATAACGCAAAGGAGACGTCAGACGATTTCCTCTATATTGTCTTTATTGTAGATCTTGTCTTGCTGATCATTTTTGCTGCTTATCTAATTTTCTATCTATCTATTATAGTTTATAAGATTTAAGGCAAAATCGCAAAAAATTGGTAAACATCATCATCAAAGGACAATAACTCTAATAAGGAATCGACTGACAATTTCGACAATTGAACTTATTTGTAGAACTTGTCTTGCTGATCATTTTTGCAATTTCATGTTTCTCTGTATCTATTATAGTTTTGAAGATAATAGGCAAAAATGAAAAAAAAATGTAAAAATTTGTCATTTATGGGCAATAACTCCTATAAGAAGTCGTCTGACAATTTTGACATATATGGTAGAACTCAACATTCTGAAAATTTTTGCTCACGTCAGATTTTCTCTATTCATAACGGTTTTCAAAATAATAGACAAAACTTGCATTTTTACACTATGTTCTATTTTTAGCCAAGGCGGCCATGTTGGTTGGCAAGCGGGATCATCGGACGTATTTATTTTCAAACTAGATACCCCAATAATGATTGTGGTCAAGTTTGGTTAAATTTGGCCCAGTAGTTTCAGAGGAGAAGATTTTTTTAAAAGTTAACGGACGACGACGACGACGGACGACGGACGCCAAGTGATGAGAAAAGTTTACTTTGTCCATTGGGCCAGGTGAGCTAATATATATATATATATCCATTTTGTTAAATCTTGTGATCAATTTATTTGGCAATCGTCAATGGCAGTCAGCAGGGTTTAAGAACATCAGTTGTTCGACCTGTTAGTCAAATGCGTTTTGTTAAAATATACTTTTTCACTCTTTTTGGTCTTTTGGAAAATGTTGTTTGTGCTGTATTTAGACCCCTCTACCACGAAATTGTTTTACATGCACACGTATAAAAATTGCGGTTTTTATCCAACGCAATCATAGGTTTGAACGTTGTTTTCATTTTAGACTTGTTTATATTTTTTTCATTTGGGCTTGTATTATATTTTCCCTCGGGTTTATATGATCCGTTCATCCTATTTCGACTCTTTAAAATTCAAGAGTCTATCCTAAATTGAGGTAAATTATATGGCCTTCCAAATACCGTTTCGATCCCTAACATCACTGAAGAGACATTAATTGTCGAAATCCGGATATGGTGTACAAACTTTTGCACCTCATGTTTGTGGTATACCATCTTTCCCGCAAGTTTATTGTTTTCTGTTTGGAATTAAATTAAAGGGATACTTCGCAAAAAAATGAAAAATTGATATTATGTTGATTATGTATAAAAAACCACAAGTTCATAAATATTAAAGTTTAATTCTGCTAGATAAGAGATCACCATCGATTTTAAATTTAGAGTATCACTTCTCCGCGTGCGGCCATTTTGACATCATCCCTGAATAGAAACCACAATATATCTATAAACCACAAAGGACCAAAGCAAGCAGTAACCTAACGTAGCCGTAATTGAATGTCAATATCTTGTCAAGCGTACGGTTGTTTTACCCGACAAGGAAAGCCTAAACATTTTCCCGGGTCACAAAAAAAGATTATAATAGACATGGTTGTGCATGCAACCTTTCCTAACTAACTTGATACGGAAAATGTAATTATATATAATTTTTTTTTAATAACTAGTACTATGGTCTGTCGTTTTAAAACTGTTTTTTTTACTAAGTTTTTGAAACAAGAAATTTTAATGGAACTTAGTTTAAAAGTTCAAAGTGATAAATTAAGTGTTCCGTGTAAAAATGTTTTCGAAAATCTAGTGTGTTCATAATTCATTTATGTAATAATCTTATTTAAATAAATTCGGACCTTCCCTTATCTGATCACCAGCATGGCTAAAGGAATTGTTCCCAGAGGTATTGTGAGTTGACACGTCCAGGTATTCAAGCGATTTCCTGTCGGGCTTTAAAACTCTTATTACACGATTACATAAAGCAAGTTCGCATCACTTCACCTCTGAGGGTATTGAGAAGTGTACACGGCCGATAACTTGTAACTTTCCATTTTGAAACTATCAGGTGAATATACATCTTTGTCTTGCGTGTCCGATAGTGATATGCTAGTCTTTACTAAACC